CTAGGCAAGCGTCTAGGGCTAGTTTTTTATTAATAAAAAGAAAAGAAAATACAACAATTAGGAATAGTACAAATAAGGGGGACAATAGCACCGGTATTGTTACCCATATGCCTTGGCTATATAATCACTCATCTGCGCCTCACAAAGCCTATGGCAGCCTCACGTAGAGGATTCATGGTACAGCTGCCTGCAAAGTCTCACGAGGGCATATAATCTCATAGCTGTGCGGATAATTTCCAAAGGCATAGGACCAAGGTAACACAAACCGGGCTAGACCTTATCTTACTAATTTCCAATTGCATGTCATCTTTGTTTTATAAGATTACGTTATTTTCTTGAGTAAACAATTCAAGAAATATGGGAACTAGTTTTGTTACAGAACTTTTTATCATTATATCTGGAGAATGAAAGATACAGAAAGAGCAATAGTGCAAAAATATCAAATTGTTGAGATGTTGATAGTCAGTGAAGCATAAACATATAAATGTCGAACAACACAACCTAATAGTAGTACTTGGTATATCCCCAACTTTCACCACAAAGTCTTAGGAAGCAAAGAACTCAAGATTTTGTTATGTAAAAACAAACTTGGAAAAATGACACTATATAGCCGCTGCAAAAATAATAGCCGAAAAAAATATATAAAATTTGTATATTTTTTGTGTATATATATATATATATATATATATATATATATATACATTCTGTATGTTATATACAAAAATTATACAAATTTTATACACTTTTTCGACTACCAGATGCAAATAGTTTCGGGCGCGGAATAAAAGTAATAACACCCCTATAAAGTTAGCTTATTCGTTTTCCACCAGACCGTTATCAAAACCAAAGACCCTGTTGCTTCTATTACAGCCTGAGATTGCAGTTTTTACATGAATAAACATCAGAGGCATATTATCCAGGAACTACGGATGGGATGATAACTGGAGGAAAGACGAAGAGACAGTTGATTCTGGAATCAAAGAAACATGGCATCCACAACCTTGGTACCATATCCTAGAATCTGTAGCACTGGAAAACAGAGGACAACTATTTGTGTATCTGGTTAGTTAGTCAAATTTCAAAATTATTTATCATCTAGAACTTGGTAACACCTCAAATAGTTACCCAACTTATATGAGCTCTCCAGTAGGGAGTCAATTAATCACTCATGCATTTAGTATTCACTTGGTCCCATATGGAAATGCGCAAAATTGTACCAAAGGGAGAAGGGGGAGGAAGAAACTAGGAGCACTCGAACATAAAGACATACATCATACGCTACTCATATAGAGTGAACATTTTCATTTTAAACAAGGCCCTTGATATGCACAGAATTTCAGTATGTACAACAGCTAGCCTCAAGCCCGAACTAGTTGTGGTTGGCACCAATTCCATTCTGTGCAAGTCCAAATTCATATAAAATTTGGAACATCACATGTGTTTCAGCTCAATTGCGAGCTATGCTATCTATTCCCATTAAGAGCTGGAAAAAATCAAAGAAATTCCTACTTCACATTCTACAGCTTCTGAAACTATGCAAGCCTTACCATCCTCCTACAGACTTCAGGGCGTTGATATAAACGCAGAACTGCTTGAATTGTTATACCAAGTGTCTCGGAAGAGCCTGTTTATCTTCACATCCTGCCATATCAGCATTAAAATTATTCAGAAAATCAATAGATGGATGAATGAAACAAGATTACCAGGCTTCATATTGGGAATTTATTCTTGCAGAGCTGAATCATACCCTTGCAAGTTGCGCAAAAAATGGAGAAACTTCAAAACACTAGTGTGCCACCAGCTTCTCAGTTTCTGATAAATTAAGGTTTAAAGAGCCACAATAGCATTCAGGCTCACGTGTCCATCAACAGATTAGAAAGCGCTTGAATCAATGATTTGGGATCGAAAAGCACACCCCCTTTTGGATCATGGATGGAATCCACAGTGACCTACAAGAACTCAATTTGTCACCTAAAATGAAGAGGATCACCAGCAAACCAATCACTTATGTGGGTCTAACTACATTCCATGATGCCGACTGTTTGCAGATTTCAAATGAGAACTTATTTTTGAAATTACAATGAGAAAGCGCATGAACAAAAGAAACTGATGCAAGTACATTATTGATTAACCAAGTAGCATTTCTAATAAACATGAAACAGGAACATACCACATTGAAAATTCCCTGAGAAGCCAGGCGTTCTATATCCACATGTATTTGGCCATTTTTTGGCACCAGAAGGGTGTTGATATATTTGTTTGGCTGAAAAGAAAAATTAAACCATATAAAAATAGAATTTTGATTTTCATGACAAAGATTCAGAGTATTGTTTGTGCAAGTACATGATATCTAGTGTTATGTGTTGCCATTCAGCTAGTTTACAAATGAACTAAAAACAAATTAAATCTACAGCGAGAACCAAATGATTTTGACGGAATTGCAACAGATGGAATATCCACTTTTTCATTGTTTGGCCATGAAATAATTTATACTCTCAAGGACACTTTACAACGAAATATCTATGCCAGGTATCTTGGGTCATTTTCCTCAAGTTAATATCTCTCTTTCTATTCTTAACAATTTAGGAAAAACTTGTGCCCCAGATGTTCCACCCATTAATGCTAAACAACTGATGTTTTTAGTTCTCATATTAGGAACCGTAAAGGCATCTGGTACAATCAATTGGGATAAAGGGAGTAGCAAATGACTCAAAAATTAACTTACGAGATGCAGCAGGAATAGTGTGGGAGATACCCAGGGGAGGAACTAGGGGGTACCTCGGAAAACTACACTGTATATACCTAGGCAAATATTCTCAGATCTTAAGATTCATTAGCTCCATCATTTTGTTTGAAGATATATGCTCCAGTCAATTCCAAAGTTTGCGATGTCTCATAAGCAGGACCAGGAAAAAGGCAGCTAATGCCTAGTAGCATTAAAATTGCAGTCTGATACAAATGAAAAGTTGAACAAGTGTCAAGCTGGTGGCTAAGAAACTTTAGAAGATTTGAGAAGAACTTTCTCTAAGAATTTGAAACAGACAGAAAAACGAAGCCTACTTCCAATAAAAGTGAGTCTTTTTTTTCACTGGAAGCAGGTTGATGAAAATTCAAAAAAAGATTCTGAATTCAGTTGACAGCCTATGAAGAACCTTACGCTACATTAAATTTACTTAGTTTCCCAAGTAAAAAGAGGTCTATTGGAATGCAACTTCTTATTGTTGTTGTTTATTATTTTGTTGATCCATAAGTCACTCATTCCGAGTTGCTTTAGGAATTTCTTATTTTCTTTTAATCGAAAAAAACAAGAGATCCTAGAGTGCTTTAGATTAGCGTTCTTAGAGTTCTTATAAATAGCAGCACTACTAAATTCAACTATCTAATTCATTATTCATTCACCGAATGGTTAATGATACTTTGCCTTCTGGACTTAAATTTTTTTTTCCAAGAACCACTAGATGGGAGTTTTCTTGTTTTCCTTACAAATTAAGGCTCTGATTATTCAAAATAAACCCCTCCCTACTGTGCTCTCAGTCTCTCACCACTAGATGCAACCTAAAAAGAAGAATATCAGTATCAACCAGTGTTGTGAAAAGCGCTCGCTTCAGCACTTAAAGCACGAAGCGAAGCGAGGTGGGCACATGGTCGCTTCTATGTTGTGAAGTGTAGCAGGTGAGTTGAAGCATGCGCTTCTGCTAAAAAGCGAGAAGCGCGACTGAAGCGAGGAGCACGACTGAATCGAGAAACGACAGTAGCGAGCGCTTCAGCATTTTAAGTGACTGGCAACGTTAAAAATAAAAAAACTGTGTCTTTTTTCGAAACATCATCGAGCAGCAGAGCAAAGCAGCGACTAGGGTTCCCATTTTTCGCACTTTTCAAGTTCAAGTTCATCAAGTTCAAGCCCAGTCTTAAAATAGCAGCGAAATGCTGCCAAAAAATTTTTTCACTTCAGTTCTTTTTCTCATTCTCTTCCTTTTCTTCTTATTTTCGTTTCAGTCATTAAAATTGCAGCGAAATGCTGTCCAATTTTTTTCTTACTTATTGCCATTTTTTCGTTTCAGTATTTATTTTAATATGTTTTTTTAAAATTCCGCTTCACTTCAAAAAAACGAGCGCTTCGCTTCTCGCTTCACGCTTTAAGCGAAAAGGGGCTTGTCGCTTTTCCTCGCTTCACGCTCTTCACAACACTGGTATCAACGACCTGAACAAGGTACACTAAGAATATTCCCCTTACTGGTTTCCAAGAAAGAATATCTTCTGAGTCATGGAAACAACTAAGGGGATATCTGGAGAGTCCCCACTCCCCACCACACTCTCTGAATTGGGAAAGAAAAAGAAAGGAAGACATGGATTAAACAATGCCACATGCAAGATCCTACAACCATACTCAGGAACCTTTTGAGTAAACCAAAATTTGACATCACTTTCCTAAAGTTGCATCTTGGCGATGATGTGAAAAGAATTCAACTAAAAAATGCATGTTCCACAGAAAAGGGCTAAGTGAAATAACACAATTAAATGAAAATCCATATCAGTTAGTCATTCACTTGAACAATAAGCTACTTACAGGATTTTTAAGACAATTGTGAGGATTTCCATAAGTTCGATTTAAGGCATCAGTAATGGCAGTCACAAAGCAAGAAGCATCAAAGCCACTAGTTTCTCGATCATGAGTGCCATTCAAAAGAAGTACCTGGGATTAGGAGGCAGAAGCAAAAGAACAAGAATAAGATGAATTGTTGGGGAAGGAAAACCATAGATTAATAACATTGATAAGAGAAAAGCATCTACCGAATGAGGAAATCATTGACATAGAAAATAAAGTTTCTCTCAGCAAGCAGCAATACAGTTATCATTTGCATCACCTAAATTACCTTGGGACAAGTCCGCGAAGAGATGGTTTCTCCCACTCCAAGTAAAACCTTCAAATGGAGCAAAATCACTAAGTAAATTGTTTGCTTTCTTCTTTTTTTAAAAATTTGGAGAAGAAGAATGCTTATTATAGTAGTGATGACAATGTCATGCTTGAGAAGATGAACTCCACTTGAGAAACAAATTAGTTTCCAATATTAGGTCTATCTTAGACGTACTTATTTCTTGTTGTACAAGCATAATTAGACTCGATAAAACCAGATTCTTGCACATGCTTTAAGAATGATATATGAACAGTACGAATATAGTTACAATAAAAAATAATATGGGGGGGGGAGGGGGGGGGACTAACTAAAAACAAAACAAAAAAAGGAAAACAAACAAATCCTGGGTTGTAACAGTGCACCATCCAATGCATTTCATGCCTGTGCTCTACATATCAAACTGTAGTGTGGAAGAACAACTTATGTTGCATGGTACTCTACCAAAGAGGGGCAGATGGAAGTAAAGAGGGATCCCATGGCAAATATAATACAGTCGACACTTCTCAACTGTTCCAAGACAGTGGGATTTACATTGGGGAAGACCTGTTCAAAGGGCAAAAGAACCAATGAATATCAGCACTCAGTAGATCATCAACAGATAAACAAGCTTTCCATGAATCAATACTGTTACAAAAGCACAAAGCTCCAACATAAAATGTTGACAGACTTTTTTTATGCTTTGTTATTACATTCAATGTTAGATAAAATTGTAATTACAATTATTTTGGAAAAAATCATTTCTTTGTATTCGTCATTTGACCTTTTCAAATGCTACAAAATATTTCCTTGTATGGTGATATTAGGAATGTCAGTAAGTCTCCTTCCAAGTTTCCAAGTTTTTATTTCAATTTCCCAATTTACAATTATTTTTTAGTTCTCCGACAGAGACCTTTTATTTACCACCAAAAACTACCATCTTTATCAAAAAATAAAAATTAATTTTTAAATTTATGTTATTTCATTGTATTCATCATTTGACCTTTTAAAATAATAAAAGAATTCATTAATTCCTCGTACACGACATTAGGAATGCAGTAAATCTCATTTCCAAGTTTCCAAGATTTTTGTTCCAATTTTTTTCAAATTTTTAGCAAGATAAAGAAAAAGCAACACTTTTTTTTGGTTACATAAAGCTTTCAACAAGGTGAATGAGGAATTGAACTTCCACAATCCAAAGAGCATATAGTATGATGTTCCTAACATCCAAAGTTAAGATTGGACAACCATTGGAGACAAATGATTGAAAAATATATTTTTTCTCCTTCCTCGGGCAACAACAGTTTGAAAACGAGGGTTTAGCTTTAAGAACCTATCAGAAAGTATATATCCTTTTATAAAATTTAAAAAAAAAACGACAAAGCAGATTATGGTACAGAGTTCAAGTGTCGTCTTTCTTTTCATTGACAAGAACAATAACCATATTTACCTCATGCAATAAGTTGCTTCCTTCACTGGACATGTAGAATATCCGCTTGATTCTAGAAGGAAGTGCTGGGGCTGAAGATGCCTCCTGTCCAACAAGGTTCAAAAAGTGAACTTGGTTTGAGTAGGACAAGACCAACCTACTGCAACAACTTTAGCAAAAAATGAAATAACAAGTAGCCAAGATTTATTGTATATCCAACACTTTCCATATTGTGTGGCACATATTAAACTATTCAACAGAGGTATAAAACTGAAATATCTAGCAAAGGTAAGGACCATGACAATGTTAGGTCTTTGGACTATATCTCAACATGAACCACTAGTCCCTAGGAGCTATATGCAGGGTACTCACTAATTGCTCCAGGCCAAAGTACAAATTCACAAAATCCTTTTGAAATCACTACACGAAGGCCCTTCTATACAGACTCCCAAGTGCCAATATCTATGAAACATATCCAAAACTAAGCATCTCATATTTCAATCTCTTTCTTTAGTGGATCAAGAAAGTATAATACAAGTTATTTAGCAGTCTCACAGATATGGAGTTCATCATTCAAGAGTATCTAAACCCCAGTAAACAAGTCTCCTTAAAAAGGGCCATGTCATACTTTAAGCAGTAAAATTATCTACAACATACAAACAGATAATGAATTGTTCTTATCATTGCACCTATCAAATGAATCAAAAAGTAAGTCCCAGATAGGTTATCAAAATATATCAAGTGTTTCTGATTTGAGAATAAATTATGATAACAAGGTTTGACAAAAACATCCCAATTCAGCAGGGACCATAGCAGCTCCTTTTAGGAAGATGGCATTTATCGTGGTTATAATTTATGTATTAAATACAATGATAAACCTTGCAAGAAGTATCTGTTTTGAGAAAATTTTAAAAAGAAACAAAGAACAGTAAAAATCAAGATTAAAAATTGTGTTTATACCTTGTCTATAGGTTGCATGGATCCATGGGTTGGGTGAGATATTTCATTCTGTCCGCGTATAACAGTTCCATCCTACACATCAGTTACGTGCAACAAGGAAAACTTTAAATTGTAGTTGCAAGACAGCAGCCATTAACTACATTATTTGAAACTCCCCCATCTGATCAAAGGAGATTCATACTAGTGGCTTAACGAGCAGTGAGCATAGGAAACAGATTTTAAATTTGTCACTTTCTGTTCAAAGTCTTATTTGTTAGAAGGATCATCTCATCCTCAATTCTTAAAGAAATTCAACTTCATCACTTCTGAGATAAATTAAAAGGTGCTATTCTTGGGTAGTATTTAGAACTGCTGTTTGACATCATTGTTTAAAATGACTTTTGAGTCAAATTATGAATACTTCTCATGATTACTACCTTATGTGTGGATTATAAGCAGCGATGTAATTGATCAAGCAGATCCAAAAGAAGATGACATAGGTTCCTTAGTTCCCTAATATTAGCAAGCACAAACATGGACCTGTTAATCTTTTACTTTGTCTATACACTTGAGCTGATTAGATCCGATTTTCATATTGTTGCCTATTCCTGCGGCAATTTGTTGAAGAATGAGTCAGCAATGGGTACTATTGACCTATATCTTCATTGAAACCTTGGATTTACGGGATCAATGTGAAACTTTGTACTTGTAATAGCCTTCTAGCCTCCTATGAACCCACACACCCCACCCCTAAACTATTCATATCCATAAAGGACTACAGCTGCTTGTTAACTTCACACCCTAGAATAGAGTTTAAAAAAAAAAAGGAAATAGACACCCAAATGATTTTTCAGGCAAATATGACCAATTGGAAGTAGAAAACTGATATTATGAATTGCCTGAAAAAATATCAGTCGGGCATAACACAGTTGAAAAATAGACTTGAAAAAGAAAAAGGCAAACAAAAATTCCTCTTTCTGGCTATATCATCTATCTCTTTATCCTTTTCTTTCCCGATAAGTCCCTAGTTTTATGGATTTATGATTTTCTTCTTGCAAAACACTCATTTTCATCTCTTTAGCCACACCTATCAAAAATTATTTTTCCCTTCACCATAAAACATCCATTTGAAAGAAAAAAAACGAATAATAGTTTAAAGAAGTGCATGATGCTCTCCTCACAAACTGACCAAGATATTCCCAGCACAGGAGAGACATCGATGCAAGTAATGGACTTAATGAAATTCAAAGGCACACGTTCATATTCATTTGCATTAGATGCTAAGTGGAACTGGATTCCTTGTGCCTCTTTATAGATGTTTAGTCTATAATAAATAAGGAAGTCCAACAATACAACCTGAAAAATAAATAAATAAATAAATAAATAAAACAAAAGGCTCTGGTGATGAAGGATTGAAGGTAGCAGACAGAATAATTAAGGAGTCAAGGCATAGGAAGGAGCGATTAGATACTAGTTTTAGAGAACATAGAGATCATACCAATAACTCACATCCCAGGGTAAGCCTTTCATTTGTAGATATCACAGGAAGGACCAAACTTTCTGCTGGAATTTCTGAAACCCGTGAAAACAAAAAGATTGCTGCATCTAAAGACTGGAAGAATAAGCGTGCTCCAGCAAAGAAAAAGTTCCCTATACTGCAAGTGTCATAAGGTCTAGTTACCAACTTCAGTCACTACTACAAGTATCGATGAAAATAAACCACTCAGAACAATGATTAAAGGAAATAGTAAGATAAACAGACAACTAGCAAGATACCTTCCATTGCTGAAACAGAATAACTCATCTGAACGCCGGAGAATCTGAAAACAGAAAGAGCAACAGCTGGTTCTCAATAGCAAGTCCAACAACTTCTATAATCAATCATTTAAGAAGACAGAAAGAAGAGACAATTAAGGGGTAAGAATAAAGTATTTATATTTCCAGTGGAAGTTCCATCTTTATGTATGACAACAATCAGTAAATAGCTTCTGAAGTTTAAACCATATTATAGGATTTCAACACCATGGAATGTTGGTACAACGATAGAATTTGATGGAAAATTAATGATTCGATTGATACTGTACAAGTGCTCAAGAGGTGAATATTTATACACACAAGCTGCAAATTAACCGTCATTGCCGAGTGGTCAGTTGGTGAACGCCATAACCAGAGTTTGATTAAATTAGGGTCACCCCAGTCCCCTATCATGAATCATTGATCGGAAGGGGGCAAAATAAACTGAAGGTCTATCTAACCTACTAACAACAAAGAAGTTCAGATTACGAACAGTACTAGGTGTTATTTAGGCATAATGAAGCTATTGGGAACCTTTTCTTGATAATAGAATAATAAACAAGAACCGGAACTGCTTTTGTATAACGGAATTGTAGCATGGTAGTTTGGGAAATGGGTTAAATTTCAGTGCTTAAAACTGCCACTAATGTCAGATATAGTCATCCATCCCATTACAGGCTTGAACTCCTTATTCTACCCAAATTTGGCAACTTGTGCCCTTAGATGTAACTGCTTCCACTCTAAACAGATAAAAAAATATTATATCACATGTATACAGAAACGTATATAATCCCGAAATAAGATTTCACATCAACAAAGAAGACAAATTAAATAGCATAATAATGTTGAGAGCAAAGTCGGGAACATCTACAGAAGACGATATCCTCAACAAAATTCTGCAAGTTAATTTTCAAGCCAATTCAGCATCTTAAAAAGATAATCTCTAGCTTTTTTAAAGGGAAAGGATAAGATAGCATTGAAGCAGTTGGAAATATAGTAGTGCCTAATTGGCCAACCTGATCCTGGAAGTAAGCCAAGAAAGCTCTTATAGTTTCCCTATATGGTTTTGAGACACCTTGCCATAGATCATGGCTGCCCTCCACAATATCGTACCTGTCATGATCAATTAACAAGTACAAATGGGTATACAGAATTCAGTAGAACCGGATAAAAGATGAAAAGGTTCTCCAAAAAAATCACTTTTCTTTTTTTCTGTTTATTTCCTTCTTTTCTTTCCTTATTTCTTTTGTTTTTTGCTTTAAGATGCCATTATTCTAGTATATATCTTCAATTTTATGTGAGTGCTACTTTTCCAAGTAGACCTAGGTAGTTTCTTAAGCTTGTACTTTTTCCAATCAAATATGTGAGAATTAATTCTTAATATAATGAATTTTTTATTTCTTCTAGGTTACTTTTATGCAGTCTTATCTGACAAGTTTATGGGTTTCTTCTACATCCTCCAAGTTTACAGCCATTGCTAGTGTTCGGGTAAACAGATACAGCCCAGATAACCAGATCTGCACAGAGATTAATTCAACATTTTTATTCTTTCCTAAAGCTCTGTCCTTTGCCACACCTCTTTGAAGAATTTTGTAGTTATAGTTCCACCTGGGTTTAGCCACGATATAAGAAAAATCAAGATAAGCCCAAGGAACCCATTACCATCACATAGCAGTTAGTCTATATAACCATCTAAATCTGTGTCGATAACATTTTACCCACTTAGCATGGATAAAAAGGGCCAGAAATCCCACAATGAAAATGTCAGCAGCATTTTTGCTTCAAATATTTCTCAGAGAAGAATCCTAGAGGAACTACCATTCTGATTTGGCTCTCTGTGGATCAAGAGGTAAACGATGACCAAGCAATATTCGGACTGCACGAGCCTCTGAGGTACTTTGGTCTGACAATCTCAAACATCTTGATCGTATATCTCCAACAGCAGGACCACCTAAATATTGACTGTCAACTTTGTTTATCATTCATTCATTTTGCCAGAAAAACATGCGTAAGAATGATGCAAGAACTTAACATGGGAACAAACTCATTAACATAAACTGTAGTCTTTCTGAAGAAACTTCACTTTCTCTTTGTTTCTTAGAAAGGCCTAAAACATTACTAGATATAGTCGGAAAGAGTGTTGCTGCTTCTTCTGTAGAAGATTACGTCATCATACCTCTTGAAATGTAAACTATCATAGCCCGAAATATTTATCAAATGGGAATGTCATGTCTTAAAAATACTGCTAACACTAATTTTCAGACGCACAAGTTTAGTAAACAGATAGAGAGGCCTAAAAGGTTAAGGATAAAGAATAGAAAGGATTGGAACTTTTAACCATACCAAGAACACGAACAATTTCAGCAGTACTGCCTCCATCATCAGAAACAGGGAGCACATGAGCTACACGAGTAGTTAGTTTCTTCAGCTCTTCAACCACACCATTAAATGCAGTTCCACCTGTAGCAGTACCAAGTTCTCAGAATGCAAAGTCATCAAGAATCTTGATATATAATACAACAACAACTAAGACTCGATCTCAAGCAAGTTTGGGTTGTCTATATTAATCCTCATTATCCATGTCGCTTCATTTAAGCTCATCTCAGACCAATATTACACAAAATAAAATAAAAGTAAAAAGTACTAGAAGTTCTATATGTTTTCTACTGGCATTTAAATATATGATAGGATTAAAAGACTCCTAGAATACATAGCTATAGAAAACATCTTACATGAGTAATTAGAAGAGAGTAAACGTATTTTTGATGTTTTAGACCAATTATGAGTCTTACAAAAATTAGTTCTCTCTTCTGGTACTCTCTTTGTAATTATCGGATGGTTACACTGATTTAGTGTAACCACTTTTATAGTCAATACAAATATGTTACCTTTTAAAAAAAAACATCTTACATGACTAAAACAAATTTCCAATTAATTCATATCAACAACAACAACATACCCAGTATTATCCCACATTGTGTGGTCTGGGGAGGGTAGCGTGTACCCAGACCTTACCCCCACCTTGTGAGGATAGAGAGGTTGTTTCCAAAAATATTTTTATCGCCTACATAAATATTTTTTTTCCATTTTGCCCTACTTTTCATTAGGCATGCACGGAATCCAAGAGCTCGTAAGTCTTTTGAGAAAATTTCTTACATGTGTTTTAGGTATACTTTATTGTAAGCACTTTCACTCACCATGGTTTTACAACTACAGGTCGATGCATCTGGAGGTCAACACAGTACATGACCAAACCATATCTCAAGCGACCTTCTCTCATTTTATTCTTAATATATCCTACATGCACCTTCAGTTGAATGTGGTCATTCTTTATCTTGTCTAATATTGTAAGATCACACATCCATTTTACTATCCGTATCTATATGACACTTATCTTGTGAAATATGCTGGACTTTAGTGATCCAATATATACTCTCACATAATGTTGCTGATCTTATAGCTGTTTTTTAGAACTCGCATTTCACTTTGGTATGTATCGTGTTATCACATAACGCTTCTGTAGCACTTCATTTGAACCATCCTATTTTGAACTATGTGTAAAATCTTTATCTATTATACCATTACTACATTGAGCTTAGATAGCTTAATTGTTTGCGTTTAGGCACCGCAATCCCGTATAATTTCACCTCAACTTCACTCTTCTTATGCTGATGAAATTTCTAATGCATATATACTTCTACTTATCCTAAAACCCTTACTCTCTAGAGTGTTTCACCACAATTCAAACTTTTCATTGAAAATCTCATTGGTTTCATCAATTAGACAATTAGCATAATATTGTCAACAATATCATATACCATGGGACGTGATCTTGTACGGTGTTCGTTAGCTCATCCATAAGGGTGAACAAGTACGGGGTCAATGTCGATCTCAAGTTTAAACCCACGGTTATGGGAGACTCCTTTGTGTCTCCTACAATTATTATCACACTAGTGACATATCCTTCATACATAACGTTTATGGCATTTATATATTTAATATAAATTCGTTTCTTCTCCAACACCCACCAAAGTACCCTTATTGATGCTCTATTGTATGCTGCCTATTCCAATATAAAATTATTTTCAAAATAAAAAATAAACTGTAAACGAAATAATGCGGAAAATAAATGCTAAACTGAGAATGAACCAATTATTATAGTTGGAATTGCAGATTAACCAGATAAAATTCAAAACAAATGTCAATCATAAACATTGCCTACTACCCACATTTGGCACTGGTAACCAAATGTATGAGAGAAATAAATTGAAATCGCAAGAAACAACATAAAAGATTCTCACTTTGAATCTAACGCTTAAACAACTCTGCTCTATGCCAGGTGCCCCGGGCTCAAGGACCCAAAACAGTAACAAGAAACAAGTAACTTTTTGGTTTCTGGGTGCTTTCAAGATTCAACATGTACATACCCATTAGTCAATTAAGCACGTAAATCGACAATCTTTCCAACAAAAATGGAACAAGAAAAAAGGGAAGTTGGGGGATATTATAATAAACGTACCAGAGAAAACAAGAAGTGAAGGTTGATGATGGGACCCAGTGGAGGAAACACTAGTGGGGCTAGAGGAGGAGCAAAGACAGTGACGAGCCATAAGGGAGAAAGATAGAGATGTTGAAAATGGGGAAAATGTGAAAGGGAAGTTAAATAAAGAAGGGGGCTTGGGCTTGAGGTTGAAGGGTCCCAAATAACTGTCCGCCATACTCGTGGGAATTGTCATAATACCATAAACGAAACAACCCAAGTTTCCTTAGCTTTTGCTAATGCAATCTCCAATTCACACACATGCACATCACCGGCCATAAATGGACGGACTCTCCTTAAATGAGACAATTCTCTTTACTGCCTCCTCTCGTTTTTCTCTTTCTTTTCTTCTTTTGTTTTCTTTTTTCCTCTTTTGCCACGTAAGTTGTATAGAGGCTAGTTGTTTTACTTGCACGGAAAAGGAGGAAAGGCTTTCTAGCCACTTAAAACTTTACGGGATTTTAAAAGTCTATACATAAACTTTTAACTTTTTTATTTGAACACTCAAACTCATTTTTTTCGTAACTAATAAATATATTTGATCATTGACCATGCTCATATAGCGTTAGTTGGTCCTAATCAGCAGGCCGCGTGAGGAACACGACGCACAGGAGCGTGAAAGTTCCCAACGCCCAACAGTACAACATGGGTTGTATTTAATTATCTTCTTATTCATTCCTTCTAAAATGCACCTTTCCTCTATTTTTAAAAATTTGAAGCTTCATTCCTCCTTCTTGTAAAATTTGAAGCTCCATTTTTAATTTCTTTTTTTATATTTTCAAACCATGAAAATGGTGGAAAGTTGTATATTTTGTCATTATAGAGTTGAAGCTAAGTTTTATATCACTTGGACCAAATGAAGCTCGATCAGAACAAGATTAACAAATAATAAACGAAAACAAAAAAAATGAGAGAAGTGATTATGATTGATTTTGGAAGGGGGTAAGTGATTATGATCGATTTTGAAAGTTCATCCAACACGACTAACCTCACGCCATATCCACCACCATAAACAAGTCCTTTTTGAATGTTGGAGAAGGTGAAAAGAATGTGAAAGATTCTGGAATATAGCGATCGGGGAAGGTGAAAAGAATCTTCTAGAATTTTGATGCAAATGGCGATGAGGGTCTTAACCGCGAGGAAATGGCAGCTTTGGTGGTTGCTGTAAACCCTAGGGTCATACTCAGTGATGAGCAGATCAGTGCCATTCTCGACGAGATTTTCCGAACTTATGGAGAGTTCATCGATGGCGAGAAGGGCCTTACATATGTTCCCCTCACTTTTCAGATTCTTTTCACCTTCTCCGATCATCAAAATTCTTAAATGAACAGGGGAGGGTTTTGTTAGAGAGAGGTTAAAATGAGGGGGGGTCGGTCTATGGAATGAAAGAGGAGACCGGGGTTAGGGTTTTCGCGCCCTTGACATGTAAGACATCCATTGGTCATTTGCTGACTGGATTGACACGTATGTGTATATTTAATGCACGCACACATGATCTCTTATCAAATGTGTTTATTAGTCACAGAAAAAATGAGTTCAAGTGTTCAAATGGGAAAATAGAAAGTTTATGTATCGGCTTAAAAACATCCGATAAGTTTAAGTGACCAGGAAGCCATTTTGCCTAGGGAAAAAGATCATTATTGCTCCAGTACTTTTAAAATTCATGAACGTCCTCTGTTACACTTTACGTTCAATCCCCACCCTACCGTTAATAAAGTTTATGCAATTAACCTTAACTCTAACGCGTCGTCCAAGTGGAAGCTGACCCATCTCTTTTTTCCAAGTCAGCTGCCAACTTAGCTGCCAATTGGGACTTTCACTAATTTATTAGCCTCAAACCCAACGACTATTTAGTCCCGGAAAACTCAATTTCAGTCCAACCAATTTGACTCATACCTAGCATCTTCTTCTTCTCCCCCAAAATAAACTCCATTGCTAAGAACTTAGGGTGCGACTGAAATCTTCCCAAAAGTTTCTCTTTATTTCATTCTCGTCATAGCTTTGGTTGTTATATATCGCAAGCTATCTATTCATCACAGATTAGGTGTCGTTGTGGCATTATAGCCAAACACTTCACTTCGTCTACTCCATATAACCCTGGAAGAAAATTCTACAAATGTCCGAGGCCTAAGGTTACCATATTTTTCAGTTCTCTTCTTCTTCTTCTTCTTTTTTTTTAATAATTTTACTTCAATTTTGAAACATAAATCTTCTTTTTGATTTATGTTTGACAGCCTAATTCATGTGGGTTTTGGGAATAGGAAGATGAAATCGTCCTGCGAAGTGATTGAACTAATATTAAAGATGTAACATAGTCGATTGAGGAGATTAAGATGCAAAGGGACAAATTGAATGAAGAAGTAATTGCCATGAAGGCTATACACCAATATGAAGTGGATAAAGTCATCAAGTTGGATGATAAACTTGCAAAGACAAGGATGTTGCTTATGATTTTTTGGGGATTGTTTATTGGTTATTTTGCGGCCTCGACGATGAAGTGACTATTTTGCAAATTCAAAGTTGCTCATATTGAGTTTATATGTGTAGCCATGTTGTACTAGTATTTGTATGTTCTTTGATTATGATGTTCTAGTAGTATTTGTTGGTTAGTTTTTTCCCTTATTGTATACTCCAATTCCTAAACATGTTTGTTTTCTTTATAAGATATGATAGTATATTATCTAGTGTACATAAACTTTAAGATTATATTTTGGCATGTTGAATAACTACACCCAAGTGTAAAACTGAAAAACAAAAGAAAACAAAATACAACAGCAATCCAAGTTGCAGATAACTTGATGTAAGAATTGAAAATTGCTGGATACCATATTATTGGTACAGAAACTGAAACACTTACACAATGGACAACTAGAAAACTGGAAAACTGGATACCATATTATCTAGATGTAAAAATTGCTAATTAGATAACTAGAAAACTAAAATTGAAAATGGAACAAAATGGACAATAATTATCTGAACACCAACTGTCAACATTCATAACATTCACCAACTATCAACATTCATAAAGTGAGTTTATAAGACAATTGGATACCATATTACAATCCCAAAAAGATGTCTAACACCTAGTTATATCATGGCATTCAACTGTCACAACTAAACAAACACAACCAAAATATAAAGTTTACTGACATGGCAGTAATTACAACACATCCAAAAATTTACAAATGTTTAATACTTGAAGCAAAGTCCCATCACTTTTGCTCCTTACCACTACCTTGCTCCTTACCACTACTCTTTCTTGCTTTCAACTTGTTCAACTTTTGTTTGTTCAACTGATTTTCAGTGATGGCAGATTTTCTCAGCCATGTTAGGCCTTTTGCTGAGAAAGTAAGCTTTGAAGGCTGACTTGCACCACTTGAATCACCAACAAATCCAATTTGCCTGGTTGCAGTTGGTACACTTTGTTGCCTCAACTGGAGTCTTGTCCTTGCTTCTGAGATGCTCTTTGGTCTTACAACTATATCAGGCTTAGGTTCAAAGCTAGGGATCTTAAAATCTAGATCATTGGAAGCTGTTGTTGAACAATAGGGGTTGGCATAAACACAAAGTTGCTGGACTGACTATTTTGACTTGGCTGGGGTGCTGATAAATAGAAGTCATCTTCAGTTGGGATATCTACAATAGCTGGTGATGTAGGATGTTCAGCATCAGGTTCATCAACCAAAGTTCTTTGCTTTTTCTTCTGCTTTCTCCTTGAATTTCCACCCATTGGTTGTTTTCCTTTAGAGTGCTATTATCAAATAGAACACAATTATATGTTAGAACAAGGTAGAAAAAATCAGAAGTTCAAATTTATTGTTCAAGAGATAAGATTACCTTGGCACAACCCCTAGCATTATGTAAAGCTTCTCCACAGTTATTACATGTCATGACTCTTCCTTTTCTGGATTGAGACCATTGCCCTTGCATGTTGGTTGACTCATTTGCCTCTCTTGTTCTTTTTACTTTTGGTCTGCCAACTTGCCTTACAAATTCAGGTGGTTCCTTATTCTGGGAGGGCTCTATCTTCCAGAACTTTTCTCCTCTCACAGGTTGCAACTTATGAGAATAAGTCTGGAGATATGCCTCTTCTGAAAGAAACCGGTGAATCTCACTCAAAGGATCTTGCTTCTTGTACAGCAGGGCACAGACTACATGAGGAGATGGGATTCCACAAAGGTCTCATGTCTTGCAAGTGTATTTTTTGGCTCCCAGATTGACAATATGCCTATCACTACCTTCTGTCACCTCATAACCTTGGTCAGCACTGCCATTCACATGATACTTTTGTGCAATCCTCATGAATTGGTTATACAGATTTAGAGTCTTAAGACTGTACTCACCTTCCCCACCCCATCACTTCAACTTCATTATCATTCAACATATTCATAACTTTGATTCTGATCTCCTCTAACATCTTTATAATTGGCTTCTGTCTAGCTTGCAATATCCATGCACTGAAGGACTCGGTCAAGTTATTATCCACTGACTGGTTCTTGCATATAGTATCAAAGAAGGCCCTACTCCAGCAGGTAGGTGGATACTTTAATAAATCTTTAACAGCGGATTTACCATCATCATTCACTTGGCTCATACTCTTCAATTGATCTTGGAAATCCTCTTCATAGGTACTCCAAGCTGGCCACCATAGATATTTTTTGTATTCCCTAGATCCTCATTTCTTACACCAGTTTGCTTCTATGTGTCTAACACAAAATCTGTGATGTGCCTCAGGAAGCACTCCTGAGAGTGAGTCAATCAGCCCCAACATATAAAGGAAAGAAGAAGTATGAGAATCTATATATACAGATTGGAAAAATAATAAAATAATGAAGTAAAGTGTTTATACCTTTTGCATATCTGAGATGAAAGTGATTCCTTCACTATCTTAAGATCCAAAGACATTTGCAGAAGAGTTGAAAACCACTTCCATGTGACTATTGTTTCTTTATCATAATAGCCCAAGCTAATGGATAAAAGTGGTTTGCAGAGTCTTGACCAACTGCCACCAAGAGCTGACCCTTAACTTTCCCTTTCAAAAAAGTTTCATCCAACCCTATAAAGGGCCTCAATCCACTCTTAAACCCCATCTTCATTGCATGAAAATATATGTACATCCTTAGGAACCTTCTCCTGCCTTCAGCAAGAGCATCCTTTGATAAGTTAACTACTACATCACTTCCAGGATTACTAAATTTCAATTCATTAACATATGCAACCAACTTATTATACTCATCAGTAAAACTACCTTCCAGATTCTCCAAAATCAATCTTTTTGCCCTCTTACACTTTAACTCACTAACATTTACATTAAATGCAGCTT